CTGGATGGTGGTAGGCTTGTTGGCATAGACTTTACTCTTCAAATGGCCCCAAATTGAAGAGTAAAGTCTATGCCAACAAGCCTACCACAATCCAGCAACTCAAAGACGAAATTTCACGCCACATTGAAGAGATTCAGGAGCAGTTGTGTCGAGATGTGATAGCAAATTTCGATAAGCGGATTGACGTGTGCCGCCGGAGCCGTGGCGAACATTTGGCGGACATTATCTTCCATACTTAATTGTAATGGCCTACCAAACATGTTCTATTAAAGAAATTTTCATTTTTGTACACCACCGATTTTTAATTCACGTTTAACATCATTCCTTCTTATTGAAACACCCTTTATGAGAAAAAGAAAACCTACTAAAGAGTCATGTATAAGAACAATTAAAGAGTAATTTTACAGTTTTTAGGAGTAGTTAACACATTCCAGATTCTTTAAACGGAGGAAAATACAGGGAAAAGAGTAGCACGCAACGTGACAAACTTTAATACACAATTTAACAAAACGGTACATATAAATCTTATTTGTGTTACAAGAACACAAGATTTTTGTATGTCCTTAAGAGTAATTGATGTTATATGTATATATTAAAATGTATAAAAGAGTAAAATATAAGTTTTAGTCTTATTAAAACGGTACGTTTGAAATGTTATTGATAATACAGGAGAGGTGGCAACATTATAATTAATGCAAACTTAAATAAAATTAAACAAGTTATATTTCATGCGCTTATACAGTATTTATACGCATACAAGACGTGCAAACTTAATAAAATCACTACCTACGAGATAAAGCTAAATGACGGATAAAGCGTATAAGGGATAAAGTAAAAACTGTGCTCCAAAAGCATCTACATAATGTTACGGATATGGGACACTGTATTGCAAGCATTAGTAAGAAGATACGTACGAGTTCTGTAGGAATTGCGCCATTGGATCTTACAAAAGTATTTTCAGCAAGTATAAGCTGCGCTTGCGAATCTGCAATTTTTCGTAAATCTTCCTCATCATTATCACTATCTTCCGTACTGTCGTCGATTTCCTAGAATATAATCACAATGCATGAACGTTTGATTACGAAACGCGTGACGCCTCCTTGGAAACCATGTAGAACGTTACATAGATACACTACACATACAAGATGCATCGTCCATGAACGAATTAGAGTCAATTACGTTAGACTTTTATTTCTCTCTCTCTCTCTTCCTCTTTTCTGTAGCATTATCAAAGGTAAAGGTTTTTGATTGTATAAATAATGTATTTTTATCTTCGGATTTGATCCATCAATATATAATTGTGCAATGAATAGATTTTGATAGAGAAAGACTATAATTCATAAATTACTCACTATATTCGTTCTATTGCAAGGTTAATTAACGTTTTAATTATTATAATTTATACTACTTTGTTTATTACAACTCGTATAACGAAACATTATGACAAACTCTACATGCAACCAGTACGTAATTACATAACCATATTGTGAAAAATAAAACACTTATATAATTTCTTGAAAAGTTTATTTGTTGTAACCATAATTTAAGACGCCAGATATTGCTTTATTGTAGTGTATCTGTATCGATGTAACGATTGGATATGTATTTGATCAAAATTATAGAAATTGGCACAATATTCAATATCATGAATACATAAACATTATTAATTGCAACGAAGCCTTCTTTAAAGGAAAAATACGGATATTTGATCGAGACAACATAATAACATAGAACCTACATGATACGTGCGAGTCTTAGGCAATGGCGAACAAGCAGGAATTGCGCTTATACTGGATGCGCATTCCGACTGGCTATCGAGAAAGTTTCGATAGTCATCTCCAAAATCCAACAATCGTCGAGCCGTCTCTACATCTAATGGCTCGCTGTAAGGCTCGCTCATATATTTCTCCTACGGACCAACAGATTGATCAATGTAGTTAAAGAAACCACTTTTATAAATTGCGATTGTTAGTGCTATGCAATTTTATATTACCACATAATTGTCCCAGGACTGTTCGGGCAGCGAATTACCAAGACTGTTCATTTCTACGTCACTGTCTATATTCAACTGCTGACCGCTTAGTTCTTTGTTATTCACCATCATGTTCAACATGTCATTATTGTAAGCAAAGTGTCCTTGAGCACAATCACGATCCTCGCCTTCCGTCTCTAACGTGGAAGCAACCGACTTGCAACAAAATAGCCTGAGCGGTGTAGAATTATTGACAAGCGTCCTTTCAACGTGTAATTGTTGATGGACGGTACAGCCTGAGAAAGACCCAGATTTCACGAGTGTCGTCGAACGACTATGGCAGTTTTCTTTCGAAACTATATGCGTTGTGCGAGTTAGATTTGTTTTGCGAGACGAGCGTTGCTGATTCGAGCTGCCGTCGCTTCCCGCAGAATGATGATTGGCTTGCGCACTTTCCGAACTAGATTCACTCTTACGCCCCTAGATAAGCGCAAATGAGTAATTTTTATTATCCTCGATTTGAATTTAATTTACATAACAACTCGCGAGGCACGATATAAAAGATACATTTAACGAGAAGGAAACAGTCCTTACCAAGGTCTTCTTACGCAATCTATTTTTCTTTCTGCGGAATGATATGTTTCTAGCTACGCGATCGTCGGAACATATAAAAGACTCTTCTAATAAAGTGGATGCGGAATTGTTAAACGATTTCCGTGATCCTCTGCAATATAAACGAAAAATTCGATGATAAAAACTCTATTTAACATAAAGCAACATGGATTAGTAACCAATATAGGGTGAAACGTGATTTGCGTGTTTAAGACAACACAGGTAAAATTTATGAAAAATCCAATGTACTTACGCAGCATCGAAGGATACGGATTTGGTAGGTGGAGTTGTGACCAATTGATGAAGCGCAGTCTCGGATATGGAGAACGGTAAAACAGCATTGTTTATCTGAGCTAAAGTGGGATTATCTCCGATTTGAGAGATACACGAAACGCTCCACGGCCTAGATCCTTTCGCTTTTTGTTTCGATCGCATTACGACCTTCGGCGTAGTCTCGTCGGGAGGTATCTCGTTGACGGGTGTTTTCTGGACGCAATCGAGTATCTCTTGTGAAGGGGATTGTGATATACACGCGAGAGCGCCTTCGAATCGGCGGTAGGTCGCGACGCTGCTCTGCAAATCGTCCGACGATACTGATTGTCTTTCCCCATCAGATTCCTCCGTGGTGTATTCACCGCTGGCATCGCAGCTATCTAATGGCTGTAATACACGCGCCGTTATACGTAATTGTGTCATACTCTCTATCTCGTGTTACATTTCCTTGTAAAATCCGCAATAATCTTTACAAAAAAAAATAGTATATAATTTTATATACGTAAGTTTTTACGTCAACTGCAATAACACAATATTTGATACGAAGAAGACTCGAATTAACTCCGTTTCCTTTTCTAGAAGTCTATTGATCTAATTTACCTGCGATCTGCCCTCGTAACTTCTCGATTCGTTCAACTTCAACCATTCTTTCACGCGCGCGTACTTAGCTCGGTGATTGTTCGTTATGTTTTTCTCCTCGAATTCTAACTGTGGAAACGCGCGCGAGGCTGTATGTCTGTCTTCACCGATCAAGTTTTCAACTTCTTTGATCAACCTTTCGATACTTGATTTATCGTTCTTCTTTTCATCATCGCTATCTTTTTGCTGTGCCTTGCGGTCGTCACGTTCCGTTTCTTTCTCGTTACCTAGACTCTTTTTCTGCGCAAAATGCATTGTTTCTGAGATATCGATTCGCGGACTCTCGCCAAAGTCCAGGCGAGTCACAACGTTCGTTCTCCGTTGCTCCGAAACGACCAACGTCGAACTGTTTCGACGAGCAGGAGTGTAAGTCCACTCCTCCTCGGAGGAATCGTCCACCGTGTTGGATGATTCCTGGACTAGTTGACTACAATCTGCCTCGGAGTCGGTGTCCCGATGCTTAAAGTAGTAGATAGCGCAGTTCTTCGACTTTCTGTCAGACCTAAACACCAGGAAACAATCTGATGTCGGTTGTTATTTCGACGGAAGTCGACAAGTTAATAGATAATCAATTCCTGAACAATCACAAGTGTACCGTTGCGAGATAGCGAGGTAGGACAGGAGAGAGAGAGAGAGAGCGAGAGAAAGAGAAGGGGGGGGGAGAGACAAAGAAAGGTGTAACTCACATATTGAATAAAGCAGCCTGATCCGTTGCTCCACGTTTCGCAGGTTCGCTCGTCCGTAGACCGTTATTCGATTTTTCCGTACTTTCGATTTGCACGGTGCTCGCCGCGTCGATTTCGTCGCACGTCCCCTGCATCGCCGCCGTCGACGTCGTTATCGGCACGGTGTCCGGTGTGGGCGGCATGTCGTGTTGTTCGCTGTCGCTCGCTCCGCTTTCCTCGACGTCACCCTCTTCCCCTCGATCCCGCGCGATAGACGTAATGGAACTAGTGGCCTCTCGTTTTGCCGGTTCGTCGGACCTCGCGTCCATCACACACAGCTGACACAATTCATCCTGCATGCCGTGGAAAGCGTGCGTACCAATTATTGATAGCGAGCATCGCACATGCATTATCAGTAAATTCTAGCCCGAGAAGACGATCAATTATCGGACAGGGTTTCTAGAAGATTAATTTCGTCTTTCGTTTTTCGTTCCACGTCGTTTTATTCGGTAGCGAAGCGAATAGTGAAATGATCGGCGAGGAGAGCTATCTAGAGCTATATCTATCGATCAAAGGCGAGTCTTTAAACGACGTGCTAGAGTGAAAGAATAACTTGAGCGCATAGATATCTGTGATTTCACTAGACGCTACTCCGGACGGTCTTTCGCCATCCAAAGACCTGAGATATCTTATGTTTTTGTTACAAATTCGACCGCTACTTTTTGCCGACGTCATCGCCTCCGGCGTACAGACCCGTCGCTGTACGCGCGTATATTCGATTCGTTTTACAGAAGCCGTTCTCTTCTTCGAGACTCAGTCTCGGAGACTTAGTCCACTTGACACATTCGGGTACGCGGCTCTTCTCTAGTCCGCGCGACGTTAAGTGGTAGTAACCGCGCTCTCTTATCTTTCGTTAAGGCTTAGTTTAACTCGTGCAGTTGCGAGATTCCAAAGAGGAAGCACGATTTGCGAGACGTACTTCGCTCGGACACGCTCATCGAGCTCCATTAAGCGTTAATGAAAATTCCCGTCTGGCGTAAGCAATATATACAACGACAATAATTAATTACAGCGAGATCCGCCCATTATCGTTCGCATCGAAAGAATGCCTACGGTACCTACCAGTCTCGGGGAGTTAATAATTTCTACGCGTGAATCGCGCAGCGCTCGAAAACCAGGTCAATGACTTGTAATAGTCGTGTTTCGCGACAGCGGAATGGAGAACAATAGCGGCTGTCGATTCGCGGAACAACTACTACGCAGAACACTTCCTGCCTCGTGCAATTATTCGCAAAAATTGCCAAAGACGGGGAAACGCGCGGACAAAAACTGTGGGGACTTGTAGACTTTTTACGCGCGACATTTCGTAAGGAGCACAAAAGGCTCGTTCATTTCCATCCAAATTTATATAACCGAACTTCTCTTTTTTTTCCCCCCCGTGCCGATATCGTTTCGCGTGATCGAGTCGCTCTTATCTCCCTCAGATTATTCTACATCCTGCTGGGAGACAAATATAACTTCTGCCAGTCGCGTGATCCATTCCCGGCACGATTCCTTTAATATTTCCATAACGGCCACGGCTGCTCGCCGCTCGCCGCGCGATCACGATAGAGTTGCGAGAGGACGGGGAGAGCGTTTCAATTCGCGGATAATGGATCGCGATCGTGAGCGCATAATCGCGTGTTCGCGGCCCTCGATGAATGAACGTACCTCGAAATACGATCCCTCGCCGATGGATTGATTCTCGGAAAAGGCGTCGCTGTCCGACTGGTAGGTCCTCTCATTGGTGACTGGATGGTCGCAGTACGCGGATCTCGGGCGTCTGGCGACGCGCTTGGCGCGTTCGGTACGCGCCGAGCGAGCGGACTGTCCCGGCGATTCCGCTCCGGAGCCGCGTGATCGTCCGCGGCTGAGACGGGGCTGTTTCGTGACTGGTTCCTCGTCGCTGTCGCTGCTGCAGCCGTAAGGCACGGCGTTCTGAAACACGAAATCGGCTCTCATTTACTCGTTGCCCGGCGAGGCTACGTAACAAATTTATTGTTCGCAATATCGCCCGCATCTCTCGTTATCGCGCGCCAAAACGCGACTGTACAGCGAAGGTGGACGCTTCTGCGCGCACGGAGGCCCTCACTTATCTTGTTTTAATAGAGTTATCGCTTACTATCAGCACGATTGTGTCATACGGCGCGGTTGGAATTGATGAGAGAGCGCGAGATGGTGGAGTTATGCTTGGTCGAACGCTTGACGCATTACTGAGTTAACTCTGTCCAAAGACCGGATCTCGTACCTTCGACGGGATACCTGAGGCAGGTCCCACATAAAAGAAAATCTCTCGACGGGCCTTTACAAGTTTAAACAGGTAAAGGGCAAGGTAGGGACAGCGGCTGGAATGGCAGGCTTGTAGAATGCAAGAAAACGTATATGCGCCTTGGCTAATTAATATTCTACAAAATCGATGGTTACAACTCGGCCAGTATTATATATGTTATTTAACTAGGATATAGAAATAGCGCATTCCCTCGTACATTAAATAAATCTTCTGGGTCTATTTGTCTCGCGTCTGTTAATAAACTCTCACAAATTCGTTTTATCAAACTAATTAAATCTCAAATTGAACTTTTCATTTCATCAGCGGTCTCTCTGCTCTGTTTGTCGATGCGTAAGTCATTAAATTTAATGGAAGGAAAGCTTATCTCATTTCGTTAAAGAGGAGTGTCCGCGGTGAGACTCGGAGTATCGTTTTGCTCGGAGTTTTCTTTCTGCGCACACGGGCAACAAATAAAACGTGACGGCCGTGACTACTCGATATACTATTCTTAATGGTCGCCAATTGTGAAACATCTCCGTCAATTGCGACCACTGACAGATTGTTGCTCGGCTCCACCCTTGATTTCCTGGCATCGCCCATTCGCTCATCCTCGTCGATCGATATTGTCCGATGCGTTTTCCCACAAGTTTGAGCTTAATTACTAGAATCGGCACAGAGGGAGAAACGAGATACGAAACGAATGGCGTTTAATAGCGGCGGAGCGCAACGTCCCATATTTCATCTATTGTAATGAATAACGCCTGCATCTAAGCACACGTCCTAATGTAATTGCTAGAATCCTCGCTAAAACGGCTGACATACAGCGAATTCGATTGCTCGCACTAGTGCGCACTAAGGCCTGTGTATACACTGATAAGAAAAATATCTTAATCCAGAAAAATATTACTTTATTCAAGAAAATTATTCATTAGGTGGCTCCTAATAGCTTATTAACCTAAATTAAAAAAGTAATAAACAAATTAAAACGTGCATTTCTTTAATTTACGTATTTATTAAATATCAAGCGGTAGATAATTTTAAATTTGAAAAATTTTAGTTTAATTAGTTTCACTTTAATTAAGATATAAGTTTTACAGCGAAGAAAATTGGATTTCTTATTTGACAAAAACAATGACTTTATTTAATAAATAGTATTTCTCTATCTCATGAAATCTTTAATTGAATGTAGAAAATGTAACGATTTAAATTAATTAACTTAATATAGTACACAGACTTACTTGAAATTTGATATTTTTATTTAAATAGAATAAATATTTATTTGGTAAAAAAATATTTTTAAGTAAATCTACTTAGTTTAAAATAATTTTTTTGTCAGTGTACTCAGTAGTCGAATTGGTGAGACGCCCGTCTAGAGATTAGGGAAGTCCAGGTTCGAAATTGCGAAAATTATTACCTCGGGCTGAGGTAATAATTTTCGCAATAAATTTTCTGTATCAAAACACTGGCCGGTTAATGTCGACTAAAAGGCTTGATTATTGTTATCTGTTACTGGCAACTTGAGGAGATTTCTACGTATAAATTCTTATCATCCTGACTTTATTCAACCCGCAATCACGGGATATCCATTACACTATAGCCTAATTGTACCTGTACCCTTTTCTCTAGGCTCTAGGCAATTGCACTCCGCAACTCTGAATTAAGGAAACTTCGCGGGATAAAAAAAAAGGGTCGTAATTATCTATGAGAAAATTGAATGCCTCCTACTTCATAAGTGTGCCGTTTAATCGCGGCGACTCTTTACATCTCAAGTAAGACATAGAGGTATTCCTACGTGAAAGGTAAGAGACGAATAATAGAACCGTTACCTTATTTCTTATATGAGAAACGAGGGTCTCAATGTGACACTGCCACTCCAAGGCACGTAGGAACAGAAGATGCCAACGTCGCTCCAGCGATCTTACTATTCGCAAAGGCTGCGAGGATTGTTGCTTCTCCTCTCGCTGCTGCTCCTGCTCCTCTTGCTGCTGCTGCTGCTGTTGATGCGTGAAAACTTTGTCTCCCAATTTGACAATCGAACTGACGATACGTCCGTGCGCCTCTATATCTCGTTGGAGTACCTGCGTACAGAAATTCACCCCGCATTCGTTATCGACCTTCGAAAGAGAGGAATTGGCGCGGAAATCGATCGCCGGGGATTTTAATTGATCCTTATGGATCATAGCATCTCACGTCTGGATTGCACAGCCGCGGGCAGCTATTAGAAAACGTAAAGCGTCTAACGAGTAGTTACGACCAACGACACCGATGATGATTAATAACGCGGCGAGGACCGGCGGACACGTTGAACGGTGCCGGAGGAAAGTAAGCGCGGCTTAGAAGCGTGTACCGTGCAAAAACATGAACCGACACCGCGCGCACGCCAACCAGAACGTAAAGGTTAAATGCGCGCGTACAAAAGAAACGCTTAAAATTCTTTATTACTTCCGCGAAGTGAGTCAAGCCGCCGTGCCGACCGATAAGTCCAGGCTCATTTTCTCCCTTTTTCTACTTGACGCTGGCGCGCTCCTCCGGATCTCGCCTTGAAATCTCCTCGGGAGACAAAGGTGTCGGGATATCAACCTCCGTCCACCGTGCTCCGTATTAGCCCACTTTCTCTGATAGATTGCATATGATTATGTGCGATTGTTCTACTTATCTCGCGGTACGACGCGGTCGTTCCGCGAGCAAGTCCGTATCGCAGTTTGCTTTCACGCGGCGCATACGACCGTCTCGTACGACCGACGGCGCTTTTTTTCCCCTCCCTCTTCGTCCGTTTCTTCCTCTCTCGCGTCGCCTCATCTCGTTGTCAATTTCTCATCCCGGACAAAAGGAGCGGCGGAACGACGGCGAGGAACCATCCTCGTTATGAAAGCGCGGATATCTCTCCGACAGGATGCCAAGTGCGTGCGCGCATAAATCAAGCTGCTCAGCGCTCGGACGACTCTATTCGCAGAACCTTGCTATTTCGCTATTAGAATCAGTCCCCGTGGGAATGGAATTACGAGACACCGTGAATTTTTCTCCGCACCCTCGGCACCGCGGACACCTTGCGACGCGAAGGTGCGTAAGGCGTTCAGCGCAAGACTAACTGATAAGCGTGGTTGATCTTACGCTGGTTCGTAGCATCGAATGTTTATTATGTTTTCGTCATTAAATAATTTTACAGTCACTTTTATACAGGCGCAGATATTTCGTTGTACACTTTTATGTCAATCGATTGACGTGCAATCGACAAGGTGATATTATTTTCGGTTTTATGCATTTCACTTTTTCACACAAAACGTTGGATGTTTCGTATCAAAATTTTATTACACTGATAAAAAATATATCTTAATCCAAAGAAATTATAAACAAATTAAAACACGCGTCTCTTTCATTTAGGTATTTATTAAATATCAAACAGTGAATAATTTTAAATTAAAAAATTTTACTTTAATTCTATAAAATGCTTACTAAGACGTAATTTTCACAGCGCAGAAAATTGGATTTCTTATTTGACAAAAACAATGATTTCACACTTAATAAACAGTATTCTCTATCTCGTGAGATCTTTAGTTGAATGTAGAAAATGTAACGATTTAAATTAATTTACTTAATATAAAACACAGATTTACTTGAAATTTGATATTTTTATATCTATTTTATATCTATATATTTTATATTTTTATATTTTAAATAGAATAAATATTAATTTCAACACTGAAAAAAA